AAAAATAAAGTTACTTTGGTTTGGGTTTTATATCTCTGAGTCCACAGAAATTGCAGTCAAATTCCATATCCATTGGTGCACCAGTGATTTTGTTGCAGCTGGTACATATCGCAGAGAAAAATCTCTGATTGCAGTTGATGATTCTGATTTTTCCTCTGATCCAAAAGTTCTTTATCTGATTCAAGCACAGTTATATAGATGTTAATATAATTGAATCAGCGATACTATAAGATAATAAAGTATGTAGTTGATAATGTAGAATATTGGTGGATATATGTTCTTGTTTTACCGGATTTGATGATGCAACAATCTGTCCAATCAAACGAACTTCAGTGTTGGCTGGCGCAACTGTTTTTTGTTTATCTTTCTCATACAGTCTTTCATTGATAACTCTGTGAATGTAGGAAATATTTTCTTGAGACCTATGACAGCAAAAATAAATGTTAATAGTTATGTGGATAGTTAGGAAGAGAATTTTGAGTAAAAGAGGGTGATATTTGTACGTCAAAACATACCAGATTTTGAGAGACGCAATCTGATGTAGTGGTGGATCCAGGACAATTGTGCTATTTGGCCTAGTGCTAATGTCAATTCCTGATTTATTGTGCCAAGAAAGTAAATGGAGTTATATTTATTTAAATTAAACGTAAATACAATCAGGTTGATCTTAATATATTTTTACCATGATAGGTGGTGACTCTAGGCCGTAGAATCAGAATTGGTGGATGAGTGTGGATTGCGTTAACAAGTTCAACACCCTCATAGTAAATATAAGGTTCCCACATTGTGAATATCAATGGTCTACATCTGTAAATTTCAATATATAGATGATAGAGTTAAGAGTAAATCATCAATAATCTGTTCATATATAAAATGCTCTATAACTATATCTATTTTCCAGTTTTCAAAGTTAAGATCATAAGATACTTACTCGGGATTGACAACTATGAATCTTTGAGTTGTACGTGGTCCTCTTGCAGTAGTAACCACTTCTTCTGGGAATGCATGGATTGCTACACACAGGACATCTAGTTGAACATGAAAATTTTGTGATTAGAAAATGTACAGTAAACTATCATATAGTATTTATTATTCATGAGTTTTTATACTGAATCTGTCTGCATCACTGTTCTTGTATTTGTCAAGGCTCCAAAATGGAGTGATAGGAAAGCAGTTTGCTAGTTGTAGTGAGTCCGTTTTGCTGACTTTCCTGATGAAGCCAGCTTTAGTGAGTGTTAACTGGAGTGGAACAGAGCCAATTTGGTTTCTTGGATCAGTAATTGGCACAACAACAGCATTTGCAATGTAATAGGTCTCATAAAGTTGTAATTTGTCATGAACGTAATTGACATCTCTATTAAAAGAGATTGCTTGAATTGATTCATGCTGTCAAAACAAGAAAAAAAGCAATAAGTAAATGAGGAGATATGAATGGTTTCAAATTTTGTTTACAGTTTGGTTATTCAATGCTGTTGTTTTCTAATTGATAACAAAAGAAGTCTAACAATTGTCTGGAGAGTGATTTATTGGTATATATAAATTGATGTGTATCATTTAAATAACTAAATTTTAGTATTCTTAAATTTGAGTATTTTAAAATTGAGTTACAGAGAGTTTCTGTATTTGAATCACTTTTTTTTTGTTTTGTTGGACAAGCAAGTAACTAAGTAAGTAAATGAAGTGTTTATTTGACCTGTTGATCTGTAAACATCAGTCTGATAAAGCAAGAACCTTGGTTCTTTCCCGGATAGATTGGTGATTTTTCCGTGAGAATTGCCTTGATCATCCAATCTGTTGACTCATGAGTCAAACTGCTAACAGGAATGCATCTGTCATCCATAGCTACAATATACGAAACATAAAAATTAGTGAACACAATTATTAGCAGTTATAATTGGCAATCATAAAACACAGGCATATTAGATATGATAAACAAAGCAGAATGCGTTGTAAATAATGTAGATGCAACTTGATATAAATTAAGTATAAAGGACATGATAGATAGAATACAAAAATTTGGTACTTAAGTAGCAGTTGCAGCTGCAAGTATTTCTTTATAAACAATGTTTCGTGTGCTACTGTCTGCCATGGATTCAAGCACAACTGGTGTTAGAAGTATCTTTAGTTTCTCTGCAGTTCTTGCCCTTGACATTGCAACATACAACTGGCCATGTGAAAAAACTGGTTCTTTTAAATATATTCCAACAAAATCAAGTGTCTGCCCCTGTGATTTGTTAATAGTCAATGCAAAACACAATGAAACAGGAAACTGAGTTCGCTTGAATGGTATTGGATAAAGTGGTAAATCTGGCCTTGTACTCTGAATGTATATATACCATTATTTCCTCTGCTAAGATTTTATCATAATGAACGCCAAGAGATGTAAAGGCAAACATGTTATTGTAACTCCTGATGCACAGTCTGAATTCTCTAGCTTCAGGAGTATTTGCTCTACAAAGCTGAACTAATTTTTCTGGCATTTGAGTTTCTGTTAAGTGAATTTCGCCTGCTGAACAACAGAATCTCGGTGGCTCCATGTAGAATCGCTTAGCACGACAAAAGATACAGTCTGGAACCTCTGGTAAAACACTTGGGTGAACTGGTATTTGTTCCAACAACGATATGCGTTTTCTTCTACGACGTGGACTATACATTATGGAATATAGGTGCTTCTAACTAATAGAGGAACGAGAAAAAGTATAAACAATCTTAGTCACACTCGTATACAGATAGTTATATATAAATCTATAATATATAGCTACCAGTTGCATGCTGCAGATTGCGCTTGATGGTTGGTCTTCAGATACAACAGTTGACAGTAGAAGACGGCAAGATTGCAGAAGAGATCACAAGAAAGAAAAATGGATTTAAAAGAGAGGAAAGTTAATAGTTCCTAGTATATAAGAAGAGAACAGAAATATAGTTCATAAATAATTCGTAAATCTACCTAGATGTACAGCTGAGGAATCATCGAAGATATTTGTTTGAAAAGCAGTCGAAGAAAGGATGTTTTCAGAGAGTACAGAATCAGTTGTTGAAAAAACTGGTAATAGAGGAAAAGAAATAAGCGGCAATAATTTGAGAGCTTTAATAAGAATTTGAAAGTTAGTATAAAACAATTAAATTTGAAGGCTCAAGAGAATACTTTCATGAACAGCATCGTTTGTCAAACTGAAATCCATGGCTGACTGATAAGAAAAGTTAAGAACAGGCACTTGAAAACATGTACACTTAGCTTTCAATAGAGCTGAAAGCGATACATCATTACGGATAGAAACATGAACAAGTGTATCATCTATCGGAGAAAAAGGTATAGCATGGGAAGTCTGGCTGTTTTTGTTTTCATATTCAATTTTACTCTGTTGTGTTCTTTGTTGTTTCTCAGCTGCTTTCTTAGCATATCTTTCTCGTCGACGCTGATTAGCTTGTATAGGACGCTCATCTTCAGAAATAACTTTGCGCTTTCGGCCCATATCACAAAATGATTCTTGATAGCAAAAGTCACAGAAGCGACAGTGAATGTCATGGCAGAAGTTTTATAGTATAGATTATATAAAAAGCGTAACAAACAAAAGCGATAGAAAGTGGAAAAAGATTAAAATGCGATCACAATGGATAATGAGAATAACAAATATGTTTAAATAAAATAAAAACAAGAGCAGAGAATGAAAGCAAATGATATAGGTATGAGATTAATATGCAAGATTTAAATTAAAAAGAAATACAGTTACCTTGAAAGTGGCACAGGAAAACCTTCACAATCCGAATTAGACAGGAGACAACTGAGACAACTAATGGAAAAACAGATATGAAGCGCAAAATGTCAATATCCTAAAACGGTATACAAACGATAAGTAAATTTCGATACTTATAGTGTAAATACCAGCTCTAAGAAACAGAGGATACAATGGATATATACATTTTGTGTTCACTGTGACTATCTGTTTATATATCAGACCGCAGAATACAACAGACGAAGAGAAACGCAAGGGAGAAGACATTCATGGAGAAGACAACAAAAACGAAAGAGTTCATTAGAAAGAAAAATCATCTGTCCTAAGTCATGCACACATGAGACAACGTACATGAAAGACAGATGAACAAAAAGAACCAAAAGTAGAACTCACCAGCAAGACAAAGGAGGGAAAAAGTAAAACGCGAGGAGAACAAAAGAACACGAAATATCTATGGTTTTCACAGGAGAAAGGAAGAGCAAAAGATAGAAGAAAGATCACGGAACACCGGTAGTTAGCATCACGAAGACAATGAAAGCCTCGTCAGATACACAAATTTAAAGGATAGAAAAACTCAAATAATACATTAAAAATGATGAATGGCCAACAACAAGATCGATGATGAGCAGACTTCACATGAACATTTAATGCAAATGAGATAGCTGAAATCCCAATTGCAGTATCAGCTAAACAAAGAGCTGAAGACAGGTGGAAGTCCATGCAAAATAGACGCGCCATGCATGCATTGTATCCTGTCAACCACTGTAATATAAAAATGCACTTAGTTGCTAAAGAAACAGTGAAACACCCACATGAACAAATGCGCAGATGGTTAAAAAATGGAGTAAAAACGACGGCAAACAAAAGCACAAAGAAAACACTCGGTTTAAAGCCACCGGCAGAATTGCGGGAACCAAAATGATCAGAACAAAAAAAAACACTTGGTTTGACGCCACCGGTAGAATTGCGGGGAGCAAAATGATTAGACAAACATGACATCTTATTACTTTCAAAGCGGTAAAAGGACGAACACGTCCAAAATTGAATCGCAAATAACAAGATAACCAAGACAAAAGGACAAGATAGTCCAAAAGAAAGTTAGCAAATGAAAATGAACAGCGGAAGAATTGTCCTCATGCAACTCGGCAGCTCCCAAAAGACCATGAAGGACAAAATGAGCAATGAAATCACAATATAACCGACACAATCAATTGGGATGCACTGTTCATCGCCCTTCCACGCTTTATGTAAAGTAGAGATACTTCTCGTTTGGCAGAAAATACAAGCGGAACATTTACAACGGAACAAACAAAGAAAAACCAGCGAAGCATCAAACCAACAAATTGAGAATTCCGTTTTGCGGCTCTGCTAATCTGCTGACTGTTCTGCTTTCTCATTCAGTGCCTTCCTTCCTTCCTTCAAGAACATCCTTTTTCCTTTTCCTTCCTTCTTTCCTTCCTGACTGAACTGAATTGAACCATCTCTTTCTTCATACATGTGGATCGCAACAGCAGCAGCAGCAGCAGCGGCTTCCTCGTCAATTTCCCTCGGTAATCAACTGCTCTTTTTTTTTTTTTTGTTCGTTCTAAACTACATATGGACCAGATGGTTTTATAATTTTTTCCCCTTCCCTTTATATTCTCTGTTTTTGTTTGTTTGCGTTTTTCGTCACGTAATTGTTAATGTACATTCCTCGTTTATGCAAATCTGGATTCTGACCAGCAAAAGTTCTTGTTTTTGCCTTTTTTTTGTGGATATTAGAATTCCAAATAGACTATATTGCCGCGTTTCTTGAGAACCCTTTTGTGTGTGAATCCTTTGAAGCTTACTGGGTGTTGGAATTGTTCTTTGGGCTTTGAGTGTTGGATTGTATAAAAATTGAATACATTAGATGGAGTTGGTCAGTATAATGTCTTGTCTTGCTCATCTTATATTTGCATTTGTCTACACGTGCTTGGAATTTTATCTTAAGGCAACAAAGTTGGTTTGGATCATAAAACTGTTCTGCAGTGATGCTACAGAAAAAATTACTGATTCTTAGCTAAATTATGACTTACTAGCTAATTGAATTTGCAAATTAACCAAACACAAAATCTAATCATGAAGTTACGGAAAACAATTTTTTTGATCAGTCAACTTTGAAGTGGCAAGAGTAAAGAAGCATTAGTCCATGACTTCATATTAGCCCCTCAATTGGAGAATTGCGGTTTGCTGATAATAAATGGTTGCAAAACAAAAATTGAAACTTAAGTGCAATTTATCTCATTGTTCGGTGTTGAAGATGAAATTAAAGTACAACAATTTGAACTGCTTGGTTTAAGGAATTGAGGATTGGATCAAGAGAGTATGACTTTTGGCACTTTGAGAAGAGTGTAAGCGAAGGTTTAGAGAGGAGCTGAACATATAAAATAGTCAGTATTGTGGAATAAGCATTGGGCTTATTGCAGTCACTAATTTCAAATCACACATAGAAAAATGTTTCTAACTATAAAGGACAATTTGCTTCATATCCATGCTGGTTTTCTTTTAAGTAGAGAGACAACTTGTATGGGAAAAAATAATGGTGAATAAGAAGAAACTGTTTTTCATACCATGATTGATTTTTCTTTTTTCCTTTTTTATTCATTTTACACATGGAAATCACTCATTTGTTGTTCTTTCAAATTTTATGCGTGTTTGTATTTTAGGTCCTTCCAGCTGCCACTATTGTCCTTCTGAAGGAATTTGCTGCTCAACATCATATGGAATAACCGGGAGTTGGACGAAATCAGTTGCTGGCATTCATAGAATTTCTGCGCATTCAGGATTAAGGTCTATATCTCGATACTAACTTTCTTAACTCTTTATTTTATTCTTTTGATGGAGAATACCACCTGAGAATGGTGGTATAGCCTTGGGGAGTTGGGCTACAGGTTGACATTTTTACTTGATCTTTCTCTTGATTGTCCACAACTGATGCTTTCCTTGGATTGCCTGTTTAATATTCTTATTTTGCTGTCTCTGTGAACTTTATTATCAGTTTCAGGTGCGACAATTCTTTCTTTGGAGTTACACTTTGGCTGCCAAATGGACATGAGAATTGCAATTCAAGGGTTTCAGTTGCCGCTGATTACTCAGATTCTCTACCTGATTCCTCAAGTTATGGTGGTGATAATGGTTATCACCCACTTGAAGAACTAAGAGAATGTAGAAGAACTCGAGTTACTAAGCTCACAGATGCTGAAATTGCAAGGTCAACTGTTGAGGTTTGCTCTCTTTGTGCATCTAGTGTTCATGACTGTTACATGCTAATATAGAAAGGAAAAAAAAGCCAACAAAAAAAAATATTGCTATGTTCTAGGTGCTTCTGAAGTGTTGGAAGGAACGGAACTATTTGAATTACTCTTTGAAAAGTAACATTAGGTCTAACTTTAGTTCTTGTTTTAGGCTAACAACAGAGCGTTGTTGTTCTTCCCTAGTATGGTGCACTGTGAACCACATGAACAAGTCTCTTGGGATGATTTTCCGTATGTTATCGATGAATATGGAGGTTTGGTTTCTCATTTTTGTATTATCTGCCAAAGTGTTTTTCTTACACTAGATTTTAGATGTTTGAACTCTGATGAAGTTAAAAAATGCAGATATATTTGTTGAGATCTATGACAAAGACAATATCTTGCAAGATCCTCAAGCAAGTAACCCTGTGGTGAGGATCTCTCACTTGCTGGATAGCTTTTCTCCTTTCTGGATGATGCATGGTTGAGTAGCTGTGTAGGTTGATTTTTAAATTCAATATTCAAACAACTTTCACAGAGCCATTTCATTCTCTGGTAGGATAGTGGTCCTTTCTTTTCTTTCCAATGCTAGTTCTTTTATTTCTTTTTTTTTTAACTTACATTTTTCCTATGCTTGTGTCTTAGTATCAGAATGTATCTTCCTTCTTCATCCTTTCAAGTTTAAAGACCTGAAATGATGAAATTTATATCTTCTCAGGATGCATCCTTACTGTGTTGCTTATCCAAAATCCATTTTAAAAAAGGGACTTTCTATGAGAAGATAATGGCTTGATTAAGGATCCAGACTAAAACATAGTTGGAAAACTTGTTTAAGGAACATATCAGAAAGTTTTTTAAAGTTCAGGCTGAAAAAATATGTAGAATATTTTTTTAACAATTGCTTTTCAGACCAAATCACCAAAAATGGACTTTATATTAGACTTGACTGCAGATCTCGTCTCCTTCCAGGATTAAGAAGTTTTTCTTCTCTTAGACTTTCTTGAAAGATTTTCTCTGGCAGCACCCAAAGCCATCTGTTGAAATTACAACCCATGATGTAGGCATTGCGTTAGCCTGATAGTACTGTAAAACACAAAACTTAAGTTCTGCATTTGTATCAATCCTTCTGTCATATGTTAGGGTCTATGGTGATTTACTATGTGGCATTTTAGTTTTCTTACTGTACACATCCTATAATGATCAAATATGCTATTGCTTGTTTGCAGAATGCTTTAATTGGAATGGACATCTCGCAGTATGAAAACAGAAGGATAGATACCTCTGAGTACGGCTTTTTAGAAAATAATTATGGTGATGACATAACTTACCTTAATGATTACGCTGAGGTGAAATTAGCTTTAAGCTACTTATTTTGAGTTTCCTGTTTTTAGTTATAGCTTTTTCTGTGTTAGGAGAATATTAGTATTCTTATAGATAATAAATTAGTAAGGGTATTCTTGTAAATAGTCTGTTAGGTTTGTACTCCTATAAATACTAGTTGGTCACTCATAATAGGGTGACTAGATGTCTTCCTCCCAAGATACCTGTTGACTGTAATAATTTATTTATATATTTTACCAGTTTGAAGATTCTGAGATGTTGGGTGTACGAGTGGATTGGGGAATGCCAGACAGTTCTAGCTGGGTTCATCCAATTTATTTTGCCAAGTGCTTAACGAAGGTGGGTACTGTTTCTTTTGCTAAATTAGATGCTGGCTAACTGCTTTTGGAGCTGCTTCTTCTTGCAACAATAAGCAAACTTGGTTGAGTTTTAAATGTAATGAGAAGGATTTTAGTTTTTGGAGTGCTTTCCAATGTGAAAACAACTTTAGTTCACATAAAAGTAACAGGTCAAGCACAAGGGGATCCTTGGGCACTATTTGGTCCTTCATGTAACAATACTTTTTGTTTAGTATCCTGAAAGTATGTTTCATCACTGGGAGTATTCATCACATTTTTTTCTCTTAAAAGAAATGTTATTGGTTGGTATCATGGTTATACTAATAGTAGCAACAATTAAAAGTAGAGTTATTGATTTCACAATTAGATGCATCAATGAATTTCTACTCAGTGCTTGTCAAAGGTTGTTATCACAGCCTCATACCATGTTTGATAACTTAGTTTTTTGCACCATCTTTATTCTTTTTTTTTTCGATTGTATGGAGTGCCTCTTGCCCATTACATTGGAATTAAACGACTAATTGCACTTAAAGAAAGTAAAATTTAAGTGAAGCTGGTGGCTTCCTGAGATTTATGAGACCAGCTGGATATGTTGTGACTCATTTTAGCTAGATGATTGGCACAAGCGTTCCCTTCTTTCCATTTACGTTTTAGTCACCATCCTGATCAGATTATTATGAGGGCTCTCCTTTTTGTCTTTTTTGACCGGTTGTGAACCAGATTTGACTATCCACTTCTTCACACCTAGATCCAGGCGAAGGTGATCCAACACATCATTGCCCAAATTTTATCCCCAATATTACCTGCCAAACCAATATTTACCGTGAAACCACATATCCAGCTGCCAAACTCATCTCTAATCAACCCACCTGTTGCTGCTTTGCATTGACTTTTGTCCAGCTAGAGTGGGGTTTATCCCATCCAATGCAGAATAATTCCTTCCAGCCCCTAGCCTGTAGAGTCCGTTTAAATTCTCCACTTTATTTGCTTGTTCCAGAAGTTTAGGAAGTTGAAATTCCAACTTTGGCAAGTCTTCTTTGAAGACAGCTGCATTTCTGGATCTCCATGCATGATATGCTACTTGTTGGAAAAGGATTTGCCAAGTCACATCCTCAAATTTGCCCAGATTCAGACCTTTGTTTCAGTCTATTCAGTCCGATTTTTGTTTATAAAATCAGTCCAATGCTCAGGATGAATAAATTTTTCCCAAAGTCAGATATAAGACTACAATCTTGTAGTCTTTTGATTTTATTAGACCTTTCTGTGTGACTTTTGAAAATGCTGGTGCCAGGTCATTGATTAGTTAGGTTACAACAGCTTTTTATGGTGTTATGACTTAGTTCAACCTTTTATGACACCTAGTTAGAGTTATTTCTAGTATAAGGCTGATCAAGTAAAGAGTAAAGATGGTTATCATAATATATAGAATTTAATATTTGACATGACATGTATTTGGTACTGATGATAGAAACTTCTTGACATATTTTTCTTTCAAAGGATTTCAAACTTCACTAGTTATGATAAATAAACTGCACTGTCACAAACCATTTGAGATGCATTACCAGGCTTTATTTAGGTGTGAATTATTTGAGCTTGGATGTAACCATTGAAGGAAAGATACAATACACAGTCTAACAGAAACATATTGCTGTTACAATCTTTTTTCCTCCTCCATGAATTATGAATTACTCTTGCCGATTTGGTGGATCTTGTAGGATTTCTTAAACTCAATTTTTGGTTTATACTGTCCCATAGGTTGTTTCAGCGGAACATGTCAAAATGATTGACCATCCTTCTAATGGTGTTTCTGTTTGGGGACACCTTAAGCCTGCTTATGTTGATGAAGAATTATATCTAAGACGGCTTTTTGATGATGAAAATAATGATGGCTACACTTCAGGCTGGACAGGTATTCTGATTCTCTTACAAATTTATCAATGTTGATGCATCTTTCTTTTAGATATTACTTTTTATATCTTCCATCCCTATTTGTGCATACCTATGTTGAAGATCCCTCGGTTCTAACATGGGCCACTATTCTAAACACATGTAAGTTGTAAAGGTGGCTTGTAACTAGTAGCAACAGCATCACCATGCCTAACTAGGGCTTTCTCTTTCTCTTCATATTTTTCAAAACTTTCCACTTTTGAGCCATGTTAGTGGATTTCCAGCATTTTAAAGGGAAATTCTAGCTATAAATACCATTTTTTTTTTGTTGAAATAATTTTGTAATAAAGAGATGGAGATGCAACATGCTACCGTATTGTTCTCATTTATTTTATATTACTGAATTTAAGTGCCCCCACTTTTTTTCACTAGCACCTTTAAACTACTGTGTTTTCTCCACACTCTGCCTCAGTATTTTAGGTTGCCAGAGTGGGAAAGAGCTTGAAAATAGTATTATTACCTTCACTATTTCGTGAAATCCTACAAGTAAGTGCTAATTGGACATTTAGCTTCTGTGTTAGCTTATTTATCAAAAGCTAAGCTCTAGTAACGCATTAAATTGCTAGTCCTCTAGATCTCTTCTAGTCGTTAGATCCAACAGATTCTACCACTAGGTCCACCAATAAAACATCAAGGGACTAATGTTCCATTTGGAAATCAGGAAGGCTAAACTGGTAAACCATGACCATGGTTCACTCTACTAGTATCATTGGTCCTAAGTTGAATCCTATGGTTACCGAAGTAAAATGTGTAAAAGTGGTTAAGAGGGCTCCCTTAACAGTGGCAAACCTCTAGGGGAAAGGGAACTTATCTGCCAAAGGCTTTCACCATGGGAAGATAGTCCCCTTTAGTGCAATTTCAGGGTATGTTATGGCTGATTTTGATGTTTGATTCTGTGGCTGATACTGCAACTATCATTCTTTCAGAGTTTATCTTCTTGAATTGCATTCCATTGTGAAAATTCCTTTCTTCTTATGATTTACTCACCTCATCTGATATTCCTATATAATTTGAACTCCTTCAATCTGCCTTTGACATATTTGTGTGGGCTGTTACTTTTGCAATCATTGACAGAGAAGTCAGCAAAGTTCTCCAGCAAGAGGACTGATCGTCAACTTTTTGTGTAGCAAGAATACTTTTGTTCTTTTCCCCTTTCCCTAGAAAACTTTCTTTGGTTGGTAAATATTATTAGCTTAATACCTTGGGAGCTCAGCTGGTTTATTCATTTTCCATTTGCAGATGGGGAAGGCTTCAGTTCTAGTGACTGTGGAAGTCATAAGAGATCAACCATCTACAGATTGGATATCATGAAAATGGACCTATTCTCTGTCTATGGTGAACAGGCATGTATATTGTAGCCTCCAGCTTGATAGGTCTTGCAGATTGTTGGTAAATTTTTGGCATAAATTATCTCAGTTCCAGGGAACATATACTTTTGTTTTGGATAACAATATTTTTTCATTTTTCTAGGAAGATATATCTTACAATTTCCCCCCGTTAACTATATCAGAATTTCAACTTCCTATAGCCTGAAATAGTGCTGCTGACAACAGGATATAGGATAAAATTGGCATATTAAGTTACCCACTTGAGGTGATGGTTGCATGTCCTATAAGCTGCTTTTACTTGATATATTGTATGCATGTGGAAATCATTTTCAAGCTTATGTGGGTAGCTGCATCTGTGATAGATGTCAGTTATTCCTCCTGGTAATTGCTTACTAACCAAGTATTTGTTTTTTGTTGTGACATCATATTTATTTTCTTGGTCAGCTTACTAGGCATTGCATCTTGGTCGATTACTAGAAATTCTTGATCTGCATCCATAGTTTCAGAAGTACTGAATTTGGTGGAATGTAGGATAAAGATAGCTTCTTTGTTAACCAAAATGTCAACTTTGTCATTCAAGACATGATTTATTAATTGAAAAAGTTAGTGCTTCCCGAGTCACCAGAATAATTTTGGACCATACTTCAGTACCTTTTTCAGAGAGAGTCCATGATGTTAAGATATGTTGTTTCATGAGTTATGTTCAACTTCTTTTGACTACCTGAGGGCATAAAAATGACCATTTTTTCACTCTATGCAGTTGGCTATCAGTTTAGAAGATTTTCAGGATGCTGAGCCTGATATTCTTGTACACTCAACAGCAGCACTTGTAGAGCGGTTTGATGAGCCAGGAGTGAGATGCAATTTTGCACTCAAAGCTCTTTGCAAAAAGAAGGGACTTCTTGTTGAGGTAGTTTTCTCTTCTTGCTATAAGATTTTGGTCCGAGGAATATGGCCATGTTTCTCGAAAACATAATTAAGAGGTATTAGATTATAGTCATGTCTGACATTGTAGAATTGCTAGGGAAAAAAAAAAAAAGATAATACTGCTGTTGGTTGTATGGAGTAACAAAGGCAGGGCTCCGTGACAACTGCCTCTTACTTCAGCATGAAGTAGAACTTCTGGCATTCAACAGAAACTTGCTGCTTGGTTGGACTATGCATGACAGATTAGGTTTGCATAGAAAACCTTGTTAAAATATGTATTTTGAAGGTGCAGATAAAAAATATTTAAATTGGTGATTTTTCAACATTTTGGTGAATATAGTTTTAAGTGAACAAGGTATATCGTATGAAAATGAGTTACATGTTTGGATACACACATTATTCCAAATAATATTTCGCTTGCATCATAAACACATTTTCCAACCCATCTTTTTATATTCCCAATCAACTTTTTATCTCACATACATCACATCATAAAAAGTGCTACAGTAATTATTCCAAATAATATTTCAAATAATACCCTATCCAAACAAATATCACCCGAGATTATGGTCTCTTTCTTGGACATGTATGAGCTACAGTTTTGACCAAGTTAGTTGTTTATTAGAGATTTTGACTTTGTTGGTGGAAGTCGTTTCATGTGGCATTAATGAGAAGTGGGATCCACCGCCGATGCTAGATGTCAATGTCCCATTGTACTGCACTCAATCTAGACTGCAGTTAACTTTTTTAACATTTCACCTAAGACTACTTTACTAGCGTAATTCCAGTTTCTCTGCTTTGTTTTCTGTGACAAATTCCCTGATATTGTAGTGTCTCTCGCACATTCCTATTCTGTTTATGGATTTTTGGCTTTATCCAACATGTATTTCTTGGTGGTTTGTTGCCAATAACATGCATGGGTATTTATATAGCATATTGTTTTGATAACTGATAACAATGTTTGTCTGCTCCATTTATTTAGGGGGCAAATTTGATTGGAGTTGACAGTCTTGGAATGGATGTCAGGGTCTTCTCAGGATCAGAAGTGTTAACTCATCGTTTTCCATTCAAAGTTAGGGTAAGGAAGCTGCCATCTGAACTGCAAAGTTGAAAGTGCTGCTAACAGTGGAAAATACTCACTTTTTGAAGTAACAATATAAAAGGTTCTCTATTGCTTCAATGTTCTAGTGCTAGTAGAATGATACAGAAAGAAATCTGACTTTTAATACAAATACTGTTGGGACTTCTAATTTAAGGTGCATGCTAACACTAGCAAAGACCAGATAATACTTTTAGGGGTTTTCCCCAACACAAACAGATCACAGAAACTAAATAGTTGGAGATTATTTCACTGAAGGATACCTTTCTGAGTTACCTAGTGGAGTCAATTGTCCATTGTTCGATCAAAATGTTCAAGAAAAGTAACCCCCTTGGCTTCAAGAGAAACACAGATTTAAACATCATCTGATTTTCTGGAGAGGATTCTGGGTAGTCGATTCTGTATACACTCTCAAGGCCCCGTGCTAACTTGCTTTAACTTTGTTCTCATTAATCCGAAGTATCATGAATAAACTTTTCGTTCTTTTGAGATCTATTTGGCACGCATTGTGCCTATGGCAGTAACTTCCACCATTAAGGTACAGCAAATCAAAGAAGTTAGTTTCACTGATCTGTACTGCAAATGGCACATGTAACTAGCTTCCTGTCCTTCTATACTAAACATGCTTCTAAATGAAGTCCTGTTTTTGCATAACTAACTGTAATCCTGGTCTCTCTGTATGTGCAGGCAACATCAGAGGCTGCTGCAGACAAGCAGATTCAGCAACTTCTTTTTCCGAGGTCACGTCGAAAAAAACGTAGGACTCTTGAAAAACTTAGGGACACAGATTCATTTTGATTCTTAGGATGTCAGTTTTTTTTTGGTAATAAGCATCTATCAATAAACTTCAGGCGAAAGTAATAAAATTTTACCAATTTTACTCAGTTAAATGCTCTATCAAATTTCCTCTTCTCCCATCTCTTTGTTGGTCCTCTGCATTGTATAAGCTTCTCTTACACTGGCCAACAATAAAATCAGAAAATAAAAGCCAGATCTAGCTAGTGCAAGAAAATTTCTGCTAAAATATTAAAGATCATTTCTAGACCTTGCTACGTAGATCAGTTGATAAACCTTCATGGGTGATGATGTGTAAAACCATCCCTTCTTCATATCAGTTTAGTTTCCTATAGGAATTCTATAGAGGATACACACTACACAGGTCGATTATTAGCTCTTTTCCTTTTTTTTTTTTTTTGGGCTGTGGTGGGTATAAAAATTTGTTAGCCTGAAGTGATCGATGGTTTAGTTACTGATGTAAAGTGGGAAGATGATTTTCCCATTGCTGAAACATTCTGCATAGGAAGATGCAAGGGCGGCTGCTTCTCTTTTGTAATTAATCTCTTGATTATTAAGTGTTAATATACAATGATAAAGTTTGACCCCCAAAACAATAAATAAATTGAAACGTCCTCTATTGAAATTCACTTCAATTACTGGGAACTAAAAGAATTGTGAAGCTTTGGTCACTAATGTCCTTCAAATCTTTATTGCCATACGATATTTACATTGGTTATGTCATTAGGACCGTGATACTTGAGAGAAAGTTTACTAACAAAAAGATTTAAGCCACAGTGATGTCTTAATATCAAATAAAAACACAATTAAATTTTAACAAAAAAGCTAAATTTGTAATGAAACAATTTTCATGAGTGAAATAACCTTTGTCACATTTCTCAAGCGTCCAAAGCTGCACAAACTTGTAAAATGAATATGAATTACTGGTTTGGTAAAATGAAGAAATTTGTAAAGCGTCCCATCCTGGAGGAGTCAAGCCTTTTGTCTCCCAGTACCTATTCAAAAATTTAGCATTCAGTCTATCAGGTTTTACCCAGCAGCATGTAGCCACAAAAATTTTATATAATGCATAACAGAAACACAAGTATACTTTCAAATCAAACAGAAAAGGTTATCCACACAACTAAAGATGCATAAATAACAAGCATCATGACTTGTCCAATTCCACTTTGATAAGAGTATCTGAGAACTAACAAGCCAAATGCATGGAATTTTAGATAAATGTGGCTAAGAAATATTCAGTATCCCAAAATTCAAGGGCCCTGTTGCAAGCGATGACATGAAACGTTTAAACGCTATTCTGAAATCAGATAAACAAAAGTGTCTGCATAAGATCAAGACTGACTTCAGCATTTTCCCATGTTAAAATAGCCAAAGCCAACAACATTGTTATTCAAGGCAGTAAATGGCGACTCAACATGCACAACACAAATGCATATCCAATTCGAAGATTATATCTTTGCATATAAGATATATATGTATGTATATATATATGCCAGCAACATATTATTTGGCATTGGTTATGGCAAAAATCACATCTGCATTTTAATCTTTTATTATAACATCACTAAGTTAGACTGCTCTGGGATGTGTGCCATTCATTGCAAAGACCGTGCTCTCCTGCAGACAAGCTTTTCTATACTACCACAGTGAATGCAACCATGATCCTGATATTATTGTTTTTGCAAGAGACCAATTAGCCTTGATGTTGAAGCTCGTTGTCAACACAAGTAAATATGTGACAACCAACATTTCCACAGTAGACAAGAAACGAATCAACAACAACAACCTATACTAGCTATTCTAAATATAACCCAAATAGATGACTATTACTTTACATTTCTTGTCTACTTCTGCGACTAAGCAACCACTACTGCAATGTTCAACTTAGTCAAGAAAAAAGGGCTTCAATACGTCTCGACAAGCCTGCTAAAGTCAACATCACTTCTATCACCTAGTTGACACCGAGTCTATCCTTTCACAAGAAGCCAGATTATCGACCAGAAGGGCTAATATAGTGTCATGAGAGGAAAGGAAAAGAACAATAGTATAGGCAGAAGATGAACGTGGTGTCACCCATACAGGCTGAAATAGTGCATGAGGTACAAGCTGACATGGATGATTACGCAACTCTCTCTACATTCACAAAAATAGAGATATTGTGTAACTAATCAGTCATGCAGAACTAGAAGAATAGCATACCCATAAAAACCTGGAATCCCAAAAAGCTCCCATCCATGTCTCATTTCTTTCTCTCGTTTTTCATAAATAACGGGAGCAGGCCTCTGGTTGAGTTGAATAGAGTCAAATTCTTCATGCAGTTTAACACCAGAAAGCAAGGGATAAGGTTCTTTTATTCAGTTGACACATCTACGTAAAAGAGGTCCAGCAGAAACAAATTTCATATATTAAAACTAGAAATGGTGAATTATAATCATTCATCTTTATCTTTACAATTGCTTAAGTCACCCAGAGAGTGAAGAGATAATGAGATAATAACAAGGTTTAGGAGAATCTGGAAGGAAAACTTTATTCTGCGATAACTAATAGTAGATTGGAGTGCAAGTTTATTGACAGATATTTAATATATGAACCTTACTCTCATGATGTTTATGATAGGCAGTTAAGCATATGATGCAAGTAGTGTAAATTGCAAGGCTTCGTGCAATTTTTTATTCATGAACAGTAACTAAGCACAGAGCATATATTCACTCAGTGAGACAGGTAAAGAATACCTAGGCGCAAACACTTCTCAGTATAGTACTGGTGCATGCTCAATCAGATGGTTGTCTCACATTAGGATGTATAAGCTCGGAAGTTTACAGAAAAACAGAAAAAACAGTAAAGTATATATAATCAGATATCAGTTATGAGACTCACTAAGATCAAATACACATGACCAAAAAATAATTATAATTTCACAAGGAAATGTCAGGTCATAAACAAGGGATCCTACCAACAAAGAAGCAATGTCTGAGCATAGAATTATATGAGAGGTCAGAAACTACAACTAGTGAATTGCTCTCAAATGAACAAACAATTCTTCCTTGTCTAATCTCAAGGACGCATTGACAAATCAATCTATTCACAAGATCAAGTACTTTCCCTAAATCAAAGGAAGCTAGTATTATCATATATTATGCATTGTATACAACACATAATGTTATGCTACATAACTTAGGAACTTTGCTCCAAATGTAAGCAAATTTTTTCAAAGGCAGAAATACTCAATTTTACAAGCAGCAATAACTTCCTTAAAAACAACTTAGATTCATACTAACTATTTTAAGCAACCATCACGCCACATAAGGTTCTTCAATATATCATACCAATAAGTTACACTATCCCATGTCCCCCTAATTATGCCACAAATTAGACACATGCATTACATATTGTTTGAATCTTGGGCAAAAATGATGAGCTGCAGACACCCTGGATCACCTAAAAATGATCTAAAGATGCATCTGTATAAAGGTGACTAGAAGAAAATATCACTTGATCTTTAACCACCACATCTTCATCATCGTGTGGTACATGAGCTCAATCAGTTCAAGCAAGCTGCACCTGCTCCTAGCTGAGTGAAAATAGATGCAGCAATAAGAAGCACATGGATTTGTGAAATGCAAAGTCAAACAACTAAGGCCAAACTTGCAAACTTGTCTTAATTCGTCTGATGCTCACCCACCACATCAACAAGGGCAAATTTCTCAAAATATTGTCCAAAACAAAAAGTCGCAAAATGTTGTTGGGCAAGGCACCTTTTCTTAATTTATGCTCATGGGCCAAATTTTACCCTTAAATTAAAAAAAAGTTTTGGCAAAATGGTCCCTCCAAATTTGTGAATTGAGACAGCCATGTTCTCAAAACACGGCAGGCACCTTTCTACTGAAAAAGAAAAAATTACCGCTTTCAAGGATCAGTATAGTAGAAAAAAATTATCTATCATCTAGCAATATTCAGATAACGCAAAAGCTAGCTACACATGGCAGGTTAATTTGATATACACCATAGCCTAATACTCTATGCATGACATCACTTATTTTCAACAGATAGTTTGGGTCCTTCAGGGTTTTCAAAGTTGCCTAATATGAGGTCAGTAGCTTTAATTAATAAACTAACAAATATTTCAAAGATCTGCAACAATCAATCAAGAAGGGCCATAATTGTTCATCTGGAGATGGTGGGATGAAGGAAAAACAGAATCTAAGCATTCTTTTTGTAATAGAATCTAAGCATAACCTTCAAAAAATCTATAGCATTGACTTCAACTTCAACTGAAGAAAGAAATTGTCTCAGTTATGTCGGCAGAAAGCTCGAGATGGGTCAAATTGGATACCAGTTTCAAAAGTTCAACAGTTCCAAAAGCTCAACAGCTCCAATTCCAGGTACCCAAAAATTTATCAATTTCAAGAAAATGATCAAGTACCACTTCAGGAACTGATGAGGAGCACTTGGCAGAATAAAATTTTCCAGGAAATCTTCATCACTAGTCCATATCTTATAAGTGAGACTAGGGGCTCCTCCCAAAATCTGAATTTCTTCATATTTTCCACTATTTGTTTTATACATTCCCATTTAAGTTTGTTAGACTACAAAACCCTTATTCTTTGGAAATTATTATTTTGGTATAAAAATCCAGTGTTAAAATGGAAATAAGATGGTGCGGAGTGAAGTTTGCTACTTGGTTTGTTTATATAGACCCTCGGTGAAAATCTAGCCGTTCCAACGAACGGCTAGATTACAAAGTTGAATTTTTTTTTTTTAAACTTACCATACTACCGGGCTGAGACAGCCCGAAAGGGGACAACACGTGAAAAAAATTGCTCACGGGATGCTGTAGCAAAAAACTTTAGACAGATTCTGCTAGCCTTTTTTTTTCTGTCGACTTATATAGCCAGGCTAGGCCAGCCTTTTTTTTTTTTTTTTTTTACTTTTTGTCAGCCTGACAGCACTGACACAACTGGCTACTGGGCTGACATTCAATTTTTTTTAAAAAAAAAATTTTTTTGAGCCGGCAACTAGTTCTGTTTTTATGGAAAAAAAAAACTTTTTTGCTTTTGCTACCGGGCTGTATTTAATACCACACCATTGTCAAAACCGTAAATGTCCGATTTTTTTTTTGGCAATATTCTGAGTAATTAACCAATGACTTGCAGCTTCCTTTTTTTTTCTAAATTTATCTTCATTTTTTTTATTAACAAACTCGTGAATTTTAACACTGAATTTTTATACCAAAATAATAATTTCCAAAGAATAAAGATTTTATAGTCTAACAAACTAAAATGAGAATGTATAAAACAAATAGTGGAAAATATGAAGAAATTCAGATTTTGGGAGGAGCCCCCAGTCTCACTTATAAGATACGGGCTAGTGATGAAGATTTCCTGGAAAATTTTATTCTGACTACAAAACCCTTATTCTTTGGAAATTATTATTTTTCTATAAAAATTCAGTGTTAAAATGCATGAGTTTGTTAGTCTTTTCACATAACCAAAAAAATGAAGATAAATTTAGGAAAGAAAATGAAGCTGCAAGTCATTGGCCAATTACTCAAAATATTGCTTAAAAAAAAATCGGACATTTACAGTTCTGACAATGATGTGGAATTAAATACAACCCGATAGCAAAAGGAAAAAAAATTTTTTTTTTTTGAAAAAACAGCACTAGCTGCCGGCTCAAAAATTTTTTTTTTTTTTAAATTGACTGGCTGCCGAGCTGACACAACCCGGGAGCCAGTTGTGTCAGTGCTGCTGGGCTGACAAAAAGTCAAAAGAAAAAAAAAAGTTAACCTAGTCTAACTACATAAGTCGACAAAAAAAAAGGCTAGCGAATCTGACTAAAGTTTTTTGCTTCAGCATCCCGTGAGCAATTTTTTTCACGTGGTCCCCTACCGGGCTATCTCAGCCCGGTAGTATGGTAAGTTTGAAAAAAAAATACAATTTTGTAATCTAGCCGTTCAAATGAACGGTTAAATTTTCACCAAGGGTCTATATAAACAAACCAAACAGCAAACTTCACTCAGCACCATCTTATTTCCTGATATCTGAACTTTCTCCCATCTCTATCTCCCATTTCAACAGATTCACTTCACTGCCCGACAGAATTGGCTAAAGTTCCGCCAGATTCATGAGTGCCTGATTCTGTCGAAACTCCGTCAGATTAACCCTATTTCTTATGCTCAATTTGTAACAAGTCCAAAGCATCAAAAGTAGCGTCCGCCTGCCCAATCATGAATTCATGATCTTCAATGTCCAATGACCCGAGAAGAACAAAAAGATCACTTTGAAGTTGCACCACACCCTTAACAAATGCTTCTGATACTTTTTCGTGATATTGTTTTCTTAGTGTCCAAAAATTGAGCCCCTTTACTGAGAGTTACTCACGGATGTTGAAGAAAACGTTGCGGTAAATTGAATCTAAACTCACACGTCTAACCAAGTCTCACACGTCTAATCAAGTTAGGAGATGGCTTTTGTTTTTAACTTTTTGCAGCTGCTGCCGGGCTGTATCACAATTGGCTGCCAAGCCGGTCAAATTTTTTTAAAAAAATTTTGACTGGCTGCCCAGCTGACAGTGCTGTTTTTCAAAAAAAAAAAATTTTTTGCTTTTGCTGCCGGGCTGACAGAGCCCGACAGCAATAGTTTAATACCACACCATTGTCAGAGCCGTAAATGTCCAATTTTTCTTTTTTTTTGGCAATATTCTAAGTAATTAGCCCAAGTCATTTCCCTTTTGTTATGGTTGGGTTTTACAGATAATTAGAAAGAATTTCATCTTATATTTGTTAAATTGACCGCTGCAACGGCAGGCTCAATTCACAAATTTGGTCCCTGCTGTGTATTTGCAAATACTACCCGCTGTGTTCTCAAAGTACGGTAGACTTGCTTTTTCAAAAAAAAAATTAAGGATAATATTTGGTGGGCATAAATTAAGAAAAGGCCCTTCACCTAGCAACATTTTGCCAACTTTTTTTTTATTTAACAATATTTTGAGAAATCCTTCAGTAATAATGGGTTAACTATCACCTAATCTTTTGTTCATATTTGAACCATAGCATTTTACCGTATCTCAAACTATTAATTTGTTTCCATATATTGAAAAAACGTAATACATTAGTGCAAATAATGAATGAGTTAGCACCTATTCAAAATTAAATACATGTTGCTCGCAATTTACGGGTCACATAAAAATGCAGGAATTGGATAGGAACAATTGTCAGCTTGGTCAATAACTAAATTTCACCACTTTTTTGGTGTTTGAACCATAGCAATTTACCATATCTCGAAGTATTAATTTGTTTCCATCTATTGAAAAAAAGTAGTACATTACCATAAACAATGAATCAGTTAGCACCTATTCAAAACTAAATATGTGTTGCTTGCAATTTATGGGTCACATAAAAATGCAGGAATTAGATAGGAGCAATTGTCAGCTTGGTTAATAACCGAATTTCACCACTGACAAAACTTTCAAAAATGTGTGGCCAGGATTTAGTGAAATATATCTAGACCCACGAAATCTGGACCACGCATTTTGAAAATTTGTGTTGATGCCCAATTATTAACCACCCAAAATACAATAGGACTGCAACTGACAACTGTCCTTGCAACAATTGCCACCAAAAGAGGACTAACTACTCCTCAAGACATTGCCACCAATTGCCACAACCTACTCCTCAAACATTGATCATAATAGCGATGTGTTACAAATGTCAAGTACATGTAGCAAATGGGCAGGATGTATTCAGAAGTTTCCAAATATTATGTCATGCCAAAGTGGATAAGCCAATATTGCTCATGCCTATTCACTGTTATTTATTAACTAATACAGGCAAAATACATGACATTTACTGGGACAATTGAGTCATGCACTTGTTTCACTTTGAATTTCTTTCTCTCTATCTTTCATTTTACTTCCCCTTCTCCAGATGTACTTCCCCTTCTTTCATTTTACTTCCCCTTCTCAAGTACATGTAGCAAATGGGCAGGATGTATTCAGGAGTTGCCAAATATTATGTCATGCCAAAGTGGATAAGCCAATATTGCTCGTGCCTATTCACTGTTATTTATTAACTAATACAGGCAAAATACATGACATTTACTGGGACAATTGAGTCATGCACTTGTTTCACTTTGAATTTCTTTCTTTCTATCTTTCATTTTACTTCCCCTTCTCCAGGGGTAGCAACAGTGCCAACTCTGTAATCTTCTACCTAGTTTTGGCATGGTTTTGCTAAGTGTCAAAACAAAACAGCTTGTTAGTTGTCTCCCTCCTTCCAAGTGCTCTCTGTCAAAGGACCATGTTGACCATGCATCCAATATAAAGGAATCCACTCAACAATTAAGGCAGTCTACTATTCAATAATATCTCTCTCTTTCCATTCAAAATTTATACAACTTGAGAAACAAGTTCTAATATACAGATTCATATTTCTTCTGGATTTTATTCAAATTTTCACTACCACTTGATTTTCCACTAAAAATAGAATTGCATAGAATAATATTGCATTCAAAACAACATAGTAAACATTCATACCTCAAACCCCATCAACTTGTTAACCCCAACACAAGGCCAAAAAAATATTGATACTTAAAGAACAAATATCAAGAGAACATATAACCAACAATTAGAAAAATCACACTAACAATGAAAAGAAAAATTAGAAAGAAAAATTACCTCCACCTAAGGAATGGAAGGAGCCGGTGGTGTTGCAGACAAAGAAGAAGCAGACGATGAAAGATTGGGAATGGTTTCCCAGCGGAGCTCCTTAACAACAGCAGCTAGTGCCTCAGGGTTGAGACCCATTTCACAAAGGGCAATGAGAATCGAAAGTGTATGACGATCCAGCCCAGTTTCAAGAATGTTTGACATGTGGAATACTAGGTCAAGAGATTCTCGTGCTGTTCTTGCAGCTTCTGGGCCCATCTACAACAGTAAAATCACTATTAAAATGTTTTCCTTCTACTACTGATTCTCTAGTAAAGATTTATATGAAACCACAAATAAAAGAAACAAACATGCAGAGAATAATGGGCTCAAAAATGAAAAAGAGTTCAAAAGGAATCATTAAAAAAAAAAGATAATTTCTTTCAACTCTTTTTGCCTAATTCATTGGCTCCCAAGCAAAGTATATCATTTGCCTCATCATTTCACTCAAATCAAGTATTCTTAACACTAAACATGTTATGTTTGCTATCAAGGACACGACTACACCAAAAAGCCAATAAATGGGGCAGAAAGGAAAAAGGGGGCATGCAGTCTAAGACTTAATTGAGGCTTAGGTTAATGTTAAACAAAAGAAGAGGGAAGAAAACAGCAAAGCACTTATACTGTTTTCTTTATTTACATTCGGCTTATAAGACAGCTAAAAGAGACTTCCTCATAGGAATTATTCTGAATTGTTAATCAAAGAAAGTGAAGTAAAGATTGTTATATTTTCTACTGCACTCTTGTTTATAACAAACTTAATAGTGTAGTTCCTCATCTACAGGTAAAATATCAAGCAAAGGATTCATTGAGGCCATTAGCAATGCATCAAATCCTTACATCAGTTCCAGCTATGAATCTTTATTTCCCTCGAGCTTTCCCAATTTCAATCCCAAACTGAAAAATATTACTATTCTAGCACAGCAAAATTTAGAATTTAAAGCCCTTATACACTCAATATAGTAGCAAATAGCTGCTGATTTCTAACCAGTCTGTGTAACTAATGGTCAAATTTAGGTTACAGCATCCTAAGTAGCAGTCTCAGCAGCATAATTCCAAAGACTCATCCACCTAATCAGCACAATAATCATACAAAACCACAATCTATTGCCCTCGAGGGGGGGGGGGGGATTTCTGTCAGTTCCATTAGACACAAAATCAAGGACAATCTTTTGCAACAGCCCAAAACAGTTCAACTAAAAATAAAGAAACGCAAGTACACTATCGAGTAAAAGGACAACGGCAAATAAAAACAAAAGGGAAGTACAGAGATTCCAATCAATGAATAAAGGCTTTAAATTTAGTTAAATCCGCAATATTCCAATTGATCTGTAACCAACCAAGGACTTTAAATAAAATAGTACTCAGAAAGCTAAAAATATAGAGAAACAAATAAAGGCCTTATACCTGTCGAAACAATAGCCAAGGACACCACAGAAACAAATGGGGTTAAGGTTCGAGAGCTTTAATCTGAGATTTTGTGACCGGAAGAATTAAGGAAAAGACAAAATATAGATTGTACTAGGACTTCTGCTTGGATTTGGGATGATAGAACTGCAAAGGGGTAGAACCCACAGTGGGATTGAAATTTTGTTTCTTTTGATTGAAAACGTTGTTAGCAAGAAAGAAAGAACTGTTCGTCGAGGAGGCTTGTGAATTTGCTCAAAGAGTAAAGGCGGCGAAAGTGGTGGTGGTGGAGATTTTAATTTGTTTATTTATTTTTTTAAATTGGGTAATGTTGTCCAACACAAATATCCAAATCATCTAAAATATACATGAGTTTTTATTATCAATCCAAAATTGACCCAACACCCAATTTATCCAACCCAACCTCTTAAATTAGTGGGTGAATTGGGTGGGTTGTTAGGTTTTGAGTCTAATTGCCAGGTCTATTTCTAGTTTTTGGCAGAAATTTGGTAAACCTAGGACCTGTATAGTAAACAAGTTTTTGATCAAGTATGTCTATTATAAGTTTTTTAATAACTTTAAACCCCATTTGACAAGTGAGTTTTTTGAATGTTTGTTTAGAACTTTGGGCCTGTTTGGCACCTCAAGTTTTTACCAAGTTTGTATAATACTAGTTTTTTAACAACTTTTGCTACAGGAACCCCAAAAAACTTATCAAAGTTTTTAACCTACACACTTCAAAAATACACAAAAAACTTTCCTTTCAACTTTTTTTTTTCTTCTTTTTCCTCCCCCACCCAACCCACCACATCCTCCGACGCCGGTCACCACTCCACCACCACTTCCGCCGCCGGTCATTATTCCGGCCGCTAGTTCCGGCCTTCAACTTTTTTTTCTCTCTCTACCTCAACCCCTCTCTTCCTCTCCCCTCCCCCTTTGACCAATCTATGGTGCCTTTCTGAAAATTTTTTCCTTTTTTTTTTCTCCCTCCCCCTCTCCTCTTGGCGTCTGCCTCCCCCGCCACCTTCCCCCTCCCCCTTTGACTGATCTGGTAGCGCGACCAGATCGCAAAGGAGGAGAGGGGAAGGGAAGAGGTGGGGGGGAAGGGGAGGGGCGGCGGGGGAAGGAAGGGGATGGGGAGATGTGCGACCAGAACGCGTCGCGAAGGGGGAGAGGGAAGGTGGCGGGGAAGGGGAGGAGAGGGGAAGGGGAGGGGCGGCGGGGGAAGGAAGGGAGAGGGAGAGGGAGAGGGAGAGGGAGAGGGAGAAGAGGGATGGTGGGGGAAGGAAGGTGACTCCCATGGAAAAGAAAAAAAGCAAAAAAAAAAAAAAAAGTCAGAAGGAAAGTTGCTGCCATGGAGAACTCGGGAGAGGGAACAGCGGAGGGAAGGGGGAAGGAGAAGAAACGGGAAGGGAGGAAGGAAAAGAAAAAAGAAAGAGAGAAAAAAAAAGAAAAAAGAAAATGAAAAGGAAAAAAACTTTTTATCTTACAAAAGTTTTTCTACAACTTCTACAGTGATCTACAGTAAAGTTTTATACAAACACCCAAAAAACTCACCTTCCAAACAGGCCCTTTATTGTAACTTACTGTAGAAGTTGTAGAAAAAAATTTTGAAGTGTGTAAATTTTGGATATTTTGAAATATATAATTTAAAATTTTTGAAAAATTTTGTAAGGTTACTGTAACTAAAATTGTTAAAAAACTTGTAACAGACAAACTTGGCCAAAAACTTGTTTGGCAAACAAGGCCTTAGTTAAAATAATCTCAAAAAATTTCTCAAAACTTTTAAATTATACACTTCAAAATAGAGTAAATCTTATACACACTGACAGTGTATACATTATCACCGTTGGATTCATAACATGTGTCAAATTCAAATTTTGCAAAGTTATCATTCATCGAATGCTGACAGTGTAGGAAAGATTAATTTTTCAAAAAAATTTCCTATAACTTGTACAGTAAGTTACAATAAAGGTTTAAATAAACATCCAATAAATTCATTTGCCAAACGGGGCCCTAGTCTTGTAAATCTAACGGTCTAAATTTTGCAACATCTTCAATACTTAGGTGGCGTTTGGTAAGAGGATTTCAGAATGGAAAATTGGAATAAATCGCATAATTATTGTTTGGATTACGACTATCGGAATTGGAATTTTGGAATAATATCTAAAATTTTGGAATTCCCTAATTCCTTAGTAATTTGGAGGGTTTTGGACAAAACTCAAATCTGATTCTCGTTTAGAAATGGAGCCGTCCAACCACCCATTTAAAAAATTAATGTATAATTATATACATATATATAATATATATTATAATTAAAATTATATATTTTATTACAATATTAGTATAATTATATAAAATATTTATATTATAAATTATTTAATTAAATATAATTATATTATAAATTTAATAATTACAATATATATTTATTTAATATATTATAAATTTAATAATACTATATAATAATATATTTATATTATTTATAAATATATATTATATATGCATATAATTATAATACATGTGTATATACTAATATATTATATAATTAGAGTTTTATTTATTATTATAAATATAATAATATATAATAATGATTCTATCTAATAAATAATATACATTATAATTATATAATACACTAGTATAATTAATATTTATATATATTATATAATTATGATTATATATTTATATTATAATATTTGTATAATTATATTTAATTATATATAATATTTAATTTAGTTAGTTACAAACTTATAATAATGATATTATTAGTTATATGTATTATATAATGTATATTAGTATATGTAATATAAGTGATAGTATTAATTATGCTAATAATTATACATGTTTACTAATAGAAATTATTAAATAGTTATACTAAAATTACTAATACATTTAAACTTATACATTTAATTAGTGAAAATTTCTTATATCCCATTTCGAAAGAGTCAACGAATCAAATATCAACTATAGTAATGATATACATTCTTGGTATTGAACCAAACAAATTTATTGAAATAACAGACTTCATTCTAAACCGAAGATGAATGATCCCAAATCCGAATCCGATTATAAGATGCAAACCAAACACTACCTTAATACTTGAATTGGTGAGATAGTCAGTCTTTTGACTCATTTTGACTCATATATTTGTTGGAAGAAAATTACGTGCATGTCTCACAAATTCTAGGGGCAAAATTGAAAGATAGGAAAAACGAGAAAACTCAGGGTGGGCAAAATTATCCACAAACCCAAAAATCTGACATATTTGATCTGATTAAATTCGAAAATTAGGATACCCAATCTGCATTATTTGATTGAATCGAAAAAGGATCGAATACCCGTTAGGATGTGGGGCAGGTTATGGTCACACAATTAAAAACCCGCGGATACCCAACCGCCTCGCATATATATATATATATATATATATATATATATATATATATTTTATACACCTACCATAAAATATTATTTTTAGAGTTAAATAAGCAATTTCATTGAATAAATTACATTACAAATATGAGAGACTATAGTTTATTTCCAAGATTCATTTGTATAGATTATGATCTTTTGTTTTATACAAAAGAATTTAATTAATGTGGAACAAATGTTTAAAAAATGTGCTACTTATGTCAAACTTTTATTGATTTTGAATTCTTTTAATTTTTTTTCCTTTTCTTGTATTCTCTTCGCATGTTTATTTCTTAGTGGGAGACTTTTTTTGAGAAAAGATCTTTATTAAATTTTAGATGAATATGTAAAATACAAAATTAAATTAGTACAAATCATTTTTTAAAATAAATAAATGATAAATAGGGTGGAGCGGGTACCCATTGATCCGACCATATTTCAGCGAGCACCTGATATGTGAGGCGGATAAGGGTCAGAAAATGGCTGACCCACAAAGTGCAGGTTGGGTCAGCCAAATGGTGGACGGGGCGGGTACTTGACCCACGCCCACTCCTAGGGAAAACGTCCTTCACATTTCTATCCTTTTCAACCTATTAGGCACGACTACCACTACCACTTTCTATCACAAAACTTTATGAAATTTTAACTCCCAACTCAATTTTTTGGTGTAGAATCTAATTTTAATATTAATTTTTACAAAAAATAAACAAAAGCAGGCAAAAAAAAAGGTGATGGATAGAATCTTACACAACCAATACAAAAAAATGCTAGTGTTTTTCTATTAGCTACATGAGTTTAGAAAAATAAAACACGAAACTATTATTGAAAAGGAAATTAAATTTTAATGAAAATTTGTGACCGAAAGTGAAGGCAATCGACGACGACACCACCAGCATGGCAACCGAAGGTAGCCATAGCTATTGCCACACTCTTGATTAGGAAAATAGGGCAAAGAAGAAAAAAACACATCTTTTAGAAGCCTGATACCACCAGGGAACATACTCAAATTTTCATGAATTTCATGACAAGTTAGGGAAACCCTGCCCTCTTGGCAATCTTAAAGCCCTGCTCTATTATGAAATCTCAAAGAAAATTCAAAATTTTCCCTTATGGACCATTATCGGGTTAGAGAAGAAAACTAGGAAGAAAGCTGTTTAGTTCTGCATTTTATGAAAACAAGACTGACTTTTATTTCTTGGGGGGATTATGCCCCTTTAATGATACAAAGGATTCTCATATAAGGGAATCCTTGACTCTTTAAACTTATGAAAAGTCTCTTGACCCTTCGAAAAAGTAAAATACACTTCTCTTAACCCTTCAGAAAAGTTGGCCTTGTTTGGATTGCATTTTTCTAGATTTTTTATAAAAAAAAATTACTGTAGCGATTTGATATATGTGAGATAAAAAGGTGATTGAGAAATACATTCACCGAAAACATAGCAATTTTTCTTTAGAAAAATACCTATCCAAACAAGGCCAAACACACTTGACTCTTGACTCTTCGAAAAAATAAAGCACACTTGACCTTTTGTACAGTTAATTGACTCTTCAAAAAAGTAAAGCACATTTAAACGTTTATTTCCTCATCAAAAGGGGTGTTTGATGGGGTGCTACCAGGATTAGTAATATTATGATCAGTAATATATTCCTAATGCCTTCTCCTATTGCATCTTTTATTGATGGGGTGCTATCAGGATTAGTAATATTATAATCTGTAATATATTCCTGATGCCTTCTCCTATTGCATCTTTTATTGAGTGCATGTCTAGTCTTTGTTCTGCTTTTATACTTTGGTGAGTGCCTATTGCTACTTTCAGGATAAGGATCTTGTGAATATTGCAACATGTTGTCGGTCATCATATCATATTAATCTTGTCT